AAAAGATGAGTAAACAGGAAGTGTATTTGAGAAGAGAAAGAATACAAAAGTCTAAGACGTCAACTTAACTTGATAGTTTTAAAGTAGCCTTAAAGTATTAAATATATATGCTGGAGTACCATTAATCTCTTTTGAAGAGGCGAGTGAAAAGTAATAATTGTTTTAGGGAAGGATGCAACTATTCGATCACAGTTGTATCCGCGGCCACTTCACATATCATCTTTAACCAGATCACTTTTCAATAGCATGTATGAAGAGTATAGGATCGCCAAAAAAGTTATGAAATGTCCTCCTTTGACGATGCCTATCACATGACGGACGAAACCTCAAAAAGGATTCATCGGGATGACAGGATGGTGGGCCAATAACCTATTCGCATAAATCTGTAATCACACCTACAAGACAGCCCCCCTAGAGCTTCTGGTGAAAACAAATTGCCAAACTACTTCACTAACCTCTTCAAACGAAAAGAAAAGTGCTCCAATATCAAAGTGGGATTCTTCAAAAACCACTTTTTCAACATATTTTGACATTTATCTTTCAGCAAACAGAAAAGTTGATCATCGTCACTCTGAGAGTCGATTGTCGATCTGCTAAGCAAGCCAACTGTAGATAACCAAGAAGGACTATAGACTGATTTCAATGAGTCGCCCCGTGGTCACACACAGGCACAATGATGCTTAAGGTTGTAGAATGGACCAATGAGTGAGGTCTAAGTGAAAAGAGCAAACCTTTGAGGTATTTCAGTCTCAGGGCCAATCAATCGAAGGTGTAAAGGCCAGGATGGTGTGGTCCCTATCTTGGCTGCGGCCTCCCTCCGTTGGATACAAGGAAAAACACCTATTTTTCTCAACTTAGTTGTGATTTCAAAGCAAGTTGGCATGAACGAAAGTTGTCTGACGTCTCTTTCCATAAAAATCGTGATAACTTCCAGCGTCGGACTGTTTATCTGGTACATTCCCAAACACTTCGCCGGCATCGTCAGTAAGCCTTGACGGTCATAGCGCCAAGTTGCAGCTCATTAAAAAGACAAATAAAGTTCATCCCTTGATCACCTTTATGATAAACAGCTTTAGTTCTTCTTTTTTCCCTCTGGTAAATTCACCAATACCTATTTTTGTCTTTTCTGTCATAGAATTCATGATAATCTATAAAATTGACATCTTTAGAACAGACTTGCAACATATCAGAAGTAACCAATTTTCTCTTAGACCGTTGTAGCATCTCCCATCTCCCCTGTTCTAAATGCTCCATGTTCACATAGCCCATTTACCCATTCACACCTTTCTGTGGCGTCGTTTGCTCCAGCATCGCCTAAGAGTGTGCCACCTCATGTGGAGACAGCGATATTGGTCGCAGGACTTCTGGGATCCATTCATCTACCCTCCAACCAACTTGTCAGTTGCTCACTGCTGCACATGAAGATCACTGTCTAACTGTCTCTAAGTAGATTGCACAGAGAAAGGGTCAAGTTGGAGCTACGGGATGGAGAGCTAGCGGAAAGTTTGAATAGACCTACAATTGTTCAACGAAAAGTAGCCATTTGACCCTGCTTTCACAACTTGGCAGGGAGACCTAGAGGAACGCATCTTGTCCGGAGCCCATAGTATGCATGATAATTTCCAGAGTCAGACCATCGGCTTTGTACATTCCACAATAAGAGTGCTCAATGGAAAGTTGGTCAAGGGATAGGTCTTATTCGTCTCTTTGACGAGTTATAGTTTACTGCGAGGACTAGCGAGGCTCATTGACGATGCCGATTACGATATCGACGAAATGTATGTGAATGCACCGAGGCCATGATCAGATACTCAAAATAATTACGGCTGCCAGGGCAGAGAGCTCCGGACCAAGTGTGTTCATCTAGGTCGTCCTGGCAACGCGACCAAGTTGCGAAAAGGTAATTAATCCAATTACTTTTACACTTCAAATATTCAATGAAATTGAATAAAAATTCACTTAAAAACGTAGTTTCACGAATAGGACAGGTTCCAACATATTTAACCGTCGTTGTAGCCAGCAGTACCAGTTCAAAGACGCATGCCTTATGTGGAGCTTATCCTGCTATGAACGATTCTAAGTTTCAATCAAGAGCCATTTTGGTAGCCCAACTGATGACCAGCTTCGTAGACATTTCTAATTCTACACTCCACACCTTACCAGACCCAAAATCGTCAGCCTTTTCGGGTGAGATACCAAGGTGGTTCAGCAGACAGCTGGTCAATGTAGTGATTTCACTTGTCTTTCTGACGAATTGTACTTTGCTGTTAAAACCGGAAAGGCTCATTGGTGACGCGGGCGAAGCGTCCGGTGACGTAACAAGCCACCGCTACCATAGCAGAGGACTCTGAACGAAGTGATTTCATCCTAGGTCGGTCTGACAACACGACCAAAATGAATATTGTTACCCTAACTGGTAGAATAGATAGGCCGTCTGTGCTGTTGGAAGAGCTAAACAACAATAGACTTAGCTCTCCAGCATGGGAGTTGGATGATGGCCAAGTAAACTAAGGAACCAACATTTATAAAGTATGCTAAAATAAGAGACAGGAGAATGCAAGCAGAACTAAAGAAGCTGTTTTCAAAGTTTGGGGCGAATTATGGATGCGTGGGAAAAAACAAATTAGGAGCGGATCCTTCAACGCATCAGTAAATCTCATTCGCAAGGGACACTAAAGTTGATTCATGTAACGATAGAAATAGCATTGCACGTAGAACCAGGTGAAGTAGAATTTCAAATAGGATATGGTGTAAACATATGCACACGCATGCAATATATGCGAGTTACTGACCGGAGAAATAAAAGTAATAGTAATAATAATGGTAATGGTAAAAGGAAAAAATTCATGTTGTTCAAACTCAAACTCTGCTAATGTAGGCAAACTCGACCACACTTGCTTAAGCACGCTTTTTCTATCGAATGAACGTAGACTAGTTCCAATTCGCCCTTGAATACAAACATATGATATTTGCGAATATGAGGTAATACGAAGTGTATACTATGACAAGAGATGGGTGGTCGTGATTTTCATGTCACTGGACGTTCCATTTCTTAGTAAAAGATAATATATACAAAGTACGAGTAACAATGCGACATAACATGTTAGAATTGAGGATCACAGTACAGGTCAGTTAAAAAGGAAAGCGAATGTTTGACCAGAGCCACATAAACCTCATTCAATTGCAGGCCTGATGGGTGATTTCGGCTATTCAGGCGTACAAACATCGAGTGGGGAAATTGCCAGCGGAGACGGAAGAGCTTCGATGCAGTCCCAAGAAACCCTCGACCTGCTTGGTGTCGACAAAGTACGGTCGTGTGTGCAAAAGGCTCGCAAAATTAGTATGCAAGAACCCCCTTGAATAGGAAAGGAACTGAGGGCGAGTGGATGTAGGTGGGCAATGGCTCACTACTATGCGGGACTCTGACCTGAAAGCATAATGTAATAAACGTTTGGAGATGCATCTCACAGACCTGAGGTAATAGGCGCAGTGGTTTCTGCCCAGTACATAATCCGAATCAATGTCGGCGAACTCCCAAGCCACGTTCCTGAGAGAAGCAAGGAGGGTATTTCCACGCTAAAACGAGGAGTGAAAAGAAGCAAAGTTAATAAAAGCTATGAAGACTAGGATGGCGTGACCTCTATGAACTGTATTCATCCTGTTTAATCTAAGGTGAACAACGACTGGTAGTTGAATTTTCCAATAATCGTATAATAAAACATGACGTTTCCAATGAATTTCGCATAGACCTGCTTTTCAAAAAGGAATTAACTTTCAGGACTGACTGAAGTTTCGATCTAGCCTAGATCATATAGACAACCCCAACGGGACTCGTATCATGACAAAATAGCGTAAAATTGAGACATGTTAACCGATATGCCACACTTTTATGGGTGCCCTTGATTCACATGGCAGAGGTAAATTTCAAGAAGGCCACATTCTTTGGTGTGATTTCCGATGAAGCAAATGTATATTTGTAGGTTGGAC